CCAACCATAGAGGTAACTCTAAGACCAGAAGGTATCGAAGAAACATGCTCAACTTTTTGGCTCAGCTCTGGTACTATCTGCGGTCCCAAGCTAATCGATGCACCCCTCGAAACATAGGAAAATCCACGAACCCCTCATTTTACCTGTCAAACTTTCATAGCGAATCTAAACAAACGAAGTGCAGTACTAGAATTTTGACTAGAATGGGGTACGCTTATAGATGTACTTGGGACCAATAGGCTAGTCAAGTAGTGAGCCAATTAAAAACCGTTAGTTTCCACCGGTTGGTACAACCGAGTGGCGCTAAGATGGTGATTTGTGTGTTAATCTAGGTCTGGCCAAGACGCATCGTAGTCACCCTTCGGATGCCACCCGTCAGTGTTAAGTTGGTAATCAAAGCAAACCAGTGCATGAGCTGTGCATGACTCTCTTGTAACGACCATACTCGAACTTTAAAAGAGGTTCCAGTGCTCCAAAATTGATGAAATTTAGGATTTCGGTGCCGTTTGCAATGCAGATTACAAAAATGCAACTGTCTCAATACCCCTAAAGAATCCAATCTACAGCGCTCAAAATATTAAATGAGCTTCGTTTTATGATGATCACAACGATATTTTTGTTCGAATTCATAGACTTTCATTTCGATTTTTAAATAAAGATTTAAAGCAATATAATAACTTCACTATTTGACACTAAACTAACAAATTGATAGTTCGCTCCCATACAAACTCCCACCGAGGGGCGCTAAGATGATGATTTTGGCTAATTGATGAAATTTTAAATTTCAGTTCCATTTTAATGCAGATTACGAATAGGCATTTTTACCTCAATACCCCTAAAGAACCCAATTGAAAAACAACATACCGGGTGACAACACTGCTGTGTTCAACTTGAGCAACCTGGTCTATACAAAGTGTGGAGATCCAGCCCTCACGTATGTGTTGGTAGAGGGACAAAGGTAAACATTGAGGGAGAGGATGACCACGACTTGTGTTGTGTGCTGAGGGGGAAGACAGTGAGAAATTAAGAGCAATCCAGAGTAACTCTGAGGAACTCTTTTGCTCTCTGATAAACGATTTTATTATCTCGATTGTTTTGACAGCGCAGTCCAAGGAACGTTAGTTTTTTCAGCCGGTGATCTATGCCGTAAAATACACTAAATTCATCGGAGAACCATTAGCAAAAAAAAACATCACGCAATAACGTTGCTTTTTTGATACAAAATTAATGGGGCTAGGGGGCGTATGTGGGGGTTTGGTGGAATAGTTTGAACGTTTTAATTTTTTTTTTCTAGCAACTGAGGCCCTCACAGGACTCATCATCAAGTACATGTCCCCACCGAAGCTGGTAGCCGGAAGGAAATATCTGGATACCCAGTAGACTGATGCAAAATTTGAAATTTTCCTGATTAGTCTCCCAAAATTTAAACTCATTTGGTAAGAAACTGACTTGGCACAAACTATTCGAAGTTGATATGGAAATTACTATGGGAAAACCAAACTTTTTGTTCATTGTCTTCTACGCATTTTCCATATTGCTTTTTCGAAAATTTATATAACTATTCTTACGGGAAATTTTCTCAGCTACAACTTTTCGGAAAATCGTTTTTCAGCCAAATGTTAAATTAAAATGATATTAATTATTTAAGAGATTGATAATCTTATGGCATGATCAAGCAGCTGTTCTGTGGGCAACACTGTATTCTGCAGTGTGAGATAGTAGCCATAATATGTGTGCTCTATTCTTCGCACCAGAAACACCAATGTTGCCTGCTGAACAGTTGAATGAGCATAATCATAAGACATCAGTGGCTTGAATCATTAATAACTTTTGTTCCATTTGATTGAAAAGTGGTTTTCAACAGAGTTGTAGCTGAGAAAATTTGCTACAATCACTGCTATCATTTTTTAAAGCATAGTGATGTGGTGAATTGTTAGATAGATATGAACAAAAACATAAGTTTTCCCATAGTAATTCCCATATAAACTTGAAATGGTTTGTGCCAAGTCAGTTTCTTACTAAAGTAGTTCAAATTATGAGAGGCTAAGCTGGACCCAATTTGGAACCGTTTAAGAACTGTGGAGCGAAAATTTCAAATTTTGCAACAGTCTAATGCCCAGTACTACGGTAGCAAGATCCTGGTCAATTTCGTTATCATTGTAAAGAGAAAAGTGCCCTACAGAAACCCATCATCAGAGTGATTTAAGAAATTGCCAAAATATCCAAAACTTCAATGAACTGGTAGAAAACGAGATTATTTCCTTATTTAAATATTGCATCCATTTATTTTCTTCATTCATTGTTTTCGTTTCGTTATCGAACTAACATTTACATGGTCATATTCCAAAACTGTATGCCCTGAGCAACTCTGAGTAAAAGACGTACTCAAATGAAAGCCGTCTTCCCCCTCGCAGTGTGCTTATAAAATAATCAATACATTATCTCGAGGGGGGCGACACATCTAAATCTCAATTCTAGATGCTCAAAAAATCTCACTCTAGCGAATAAATCTTCGAAAAATCTTCTTTCATTTCTCGCATCTACTTGCATCGCGCATCATGTTTTTGCAGAAAATCTTCAAAATCGTGATAAATCTTCTTTCTATCTGCTCAGCGTACGCGCAGCTAGCCACAGCAAAACACAATATTTCCTACATCGTAGATAGAGTCGTCCCCCTCGCATTATCTCAACATTCGGTGGAAAAAGATTCATAAATTTTGGCTTCATACAAAAATTCTATAATTCATATTCAATTTCTAATGCAAACGCTGATTGAAACAAACGTTATGACGTAACTACGAGCGTGTTTGAGCGTACGAAGCCGAGTGAAAAACCATCAATTCAGTGCCAACATTTCAAAGGGGCGTAATTGCTTTTGTAAATAATATCATTTTCTCGCGAATAAAATCTCACCCCTCTAAAATAACAATGCTAGCTGGTAGAGGAATCATTCCTCTACCTGGTGGTGTCATTATTTTTTATGAGTGAGCTTTTATTCGCGAGAAATCGACGGCTAAAGCAATTGTTTACAAATGCAATTACGCCCCTTTGAAATGTTGGCACTGAATTCCACACCTTTTATAAACCAGGTTGCCGCAGGTAGTTGTCAAATCCAACCAGGGATGCCAGATATACATGTCTGTATTTGTAAATTTGATATGCATACAGACATCATACACACTTAGATATTTTTTCCCGAGATTGGCACCACCGAGCAGGCTTTACATTTATTTTATACTGGGATTTCAGCAAATTTCATGTTTGTTAGCCGAGATCTCGGCAAAATTCCCGTTTGTTAACTAAATCTCGGCAAAATTTTCACTGAAATCCAGCAAAATAGATTGCCGAGCTGCACGGTGGTGCACATTTGCGCAAAAAATCTGAGTGTGTACAGAGTACACACATTATACATACATTGGGAAAAGGTTACAGATTCATTCAGGCATTGATGACCATCGAAACATAGTTTCACTAAAGAATTTACTTCTTTTAAACACATATTTTTGTACAGCAGATATTTGAATTTCGAAGAAGATCGATGGATTTAAAAGAAATAAGGACACAATTATCAGTTTCGAAACGTACCACATTGAAATTGTAACTTCGCGTTTGCAGTACTGCAGCATACATGAAGTAGCAATTTCAGGTTAAATAGGGCATTAAATTCCGAAATTTGTGTAATTGAAAATTCGAAGTGGAAGTGCGGCCATTTGTGGACTCTACGAGGAATCACCTTAAGATTTGACCGCTTTACAAAGATGTCTGGAAAGTTTTAAAGAAATTTACTGAATTTCCGAATTTTTGAGTGAATTGACTTCAGGTAAATCCAGCAAAATTTAGAGAAACTCAAGGAACTTCATTAGTTTAGGGAGTACCGAATAGATTCAGGGAATAATTAAGAGAATTTTGAAAGAACTCCAGGAATGTTCATTCAAAAGATCTTCAAAGAAGCTTTGGGTAATGTTGAAGAACTTCAAACCCACCATAGAGTAGTTAAGGGGTCCTTTAAAAAAGTTTGGAGAACATCAAAAATGATTCTGAAACATTGAAAATGCTTTGGAAATTTAGGGAACTTTTAGGAAACAGTACCTCAACACTCCGAACACGATGCCGCTGGTAAATGGGTAATGGCAAATTAGCAATGTTTGAAAAACCATCGCTCAGCAATTTATGAATCGATTTTAAATGTGTTATGTAATTCTGGGTAAAAAAAAACCTAAAAAAACCTGTAGAAATACAGATTTTCTGTAGTGTTGGCTACCCTTCTGCCTGCTTCACCGTCGTCACCTTAATAATATCCCGCCAGGGAGTGACAATGACAACAAGAACAAGAACGCTCTGACCTGTACACCGCCTACTTCAAGGTGATTCAGTCGACCAGCTGCTGCTGCACCCTGATCGCTTAGAAACCGCAGTCTCTCGTCTGTCAGTTGATCTTGCTCCGGAATGCATTATTGGTTGAACGCTGCCGTTCTGGATGTTTCCTACTGTTAAAAGTTTCGCTAAGAATTCTAAGCAAGCAAAGGAGTGGGACTGTATGCATGCTTTGCGGTTGCATTGACGCGCGCAAAAATGTATGCGCGTGCGTGGTTATTTCACACCTTAGTAACCGCAAAAGCAATGTCTGTGTGTAGTACCTAGCACTGAACAATCATTTGGTCTCATATCTAAGTGGAGATACACATAGATATGCAAATTGTGAGCTCATTTCGTTTGTCGAGCCATGTTTTTTTTTATCGCTGCTCCAATATTAATGACAGAATCGTTTGACCTGCCGAAGGTGTCAATTCGCCCAAAGCAAGGTTGCCGGCTACCACGATTTTGTTTTCTTCAATACATCACAGTTGACACCAGCTCATGCTTTCAATCATCGTGATTCATGATACGCAACTAATCTTATCAACGTATGTCGGTATTTTTACTTTGTTTACGTGTATGATATCTCGATTTTCAGATTACTCAAAATAGATCACTTGTCGGCGAAACAATGGAAAACTCACCAGCTGCACCAGCTTCAGAATGCCCGGAATGGACTGGAAGTACTGAATGTTGAACTTGATCCAGTTCAAGCTGTTGTCCGGTTTGGCCTGTGCCTGGTTGGCTGCATTAGGAGGCGCCGCCTGCGACTGATCCACCGTTACCACAGTTTCGGTCATCATGGCTATCTTACACGATTACACGGCTGTTCAACACACTTTGGAAACTTTCTCCCCAACTCCAAAACAACACTCCGCACTTGTGTGACACTTTTTACACCACCACAGCACTCACAAAACAAAACGGGAATCCCTCTCTCTCTCTCTCTCGTACACTTTTCACCTAAGCGCAGCACATACACACACGTACACAGCCACTCCTACTCTCCGGGGTAGTCGAAGGAGATCTTCAGCTTGTGACTAGCTTGAGATCTATTTTTGAAGCGCAGTTTTCTAATCGTACGCACTCAGTTCCCGGTTGAAAGAGTATCACTTGCTCACAAAAATATCGCACTTTGCCGCTTGGTGACACTACTATTCGCCTATCAGCCTCTACAAAAGACCCCTTTCCCAACGATCAAACCCGAACTAGAAGGTTTTAATTGCGTTGATTAAATATGCATTTTCACCTTACGCTTTTCTCCTACACTGAAACTGCACCGTCCGGAGCGATTATTAAAAAAACGTAGTCTTTAGATAAAAAAAAATAAACAGGTGTGCTGTTTCTTCAATGGAACCAGACCTGTTTTTCTCCTTTCTCGCTCTTCCGTTCTCTCTGCTTGGGCTTGCAATGCACACGGCTGGTTGGTATTCCTTCTGGAGATATACAGCTTGTTTTCTCACGGGGTGCGCAGAATAAGCTCGCTGGTCAAAAACTATACCACAACCGTTCGTTGGAACCGTTCACTCGAAACTGAACTGACTTGCAGCGATGGGAAAGTCTGAGCCCCATGCGTCCCCATATAGAGTTTACGGCTCAACGCGGTTCCTGCGTTCATTTAGTTTCTGTTTCATGTGCTCTCTGAGAGACTTGAGTTTTGTTTAACTAGGCACTCGAACCCAGACCAGGTAACGAAGATAAACGCTCTTTTATTCATACGATAAAATGTATCTGTTGTAGCAGAGCAGGTAGACTCGAGTGACCGTCGCTTAATGGTAGAGATGGCTATTTTTTTAGAAATAACGATTCGTTGAAAAACAATACTTTCAAATTCATGAAAATAAGTTATCAAATTATAGTTTCGAAGTACCACCAACAATCAATACGAAACTATCGATTTGAAATTGGCTCACTACTTGACTAGCCTATTGGTCCCAAGAAAATCGATTAACGTATCCCATTCTAGATGAAATTCTGGTACTACACTATGTTTGTTTTGATTCTCTATGAAAGTTTGACAGATAAAATGAGGGGTTCGTGGATTTTCCCATGTTTCGAGAGGTGCATCGATTAGCTTGGGACCGAAGATAGTTCCAGAGCTGAGCCAACAAGTTGAGCACGTTTCTTCGGCACCTACTAGTCTTAGAGTTACCTCAGCTCTGGGATCATGTTTCATGAATTCACCACTTTTACGGATGTTCCGGATCTTCCAGTGGACCATTACGCGGTCTCCAGGGCCTAGATTCCGGTCACAACTATGAATTCATTCTGATAAGACGTCTATGAGTAGTTTCGAAAAAACCGCGGAGCTCTAGGATCAGGAAACCGTGGAGGATTGCCCACTTTTACGGATATACCGGGTCTTCCACAGGACAAGACTTTTGACTTTCCGGATGCTTAATTTTGCAAACAGGTAGCCAACTATCTTTTAATAACTTTTCAGGAGACACCAGGGAGTTATCTCTTCAAATTACCCTACACAATAAGAGTGTGTCCCCAATTAGCTCTAATGCCATATGGTACGGGCGTGTTTGTTAATGCCGGTTCCTACACAGCAAAAAAAGTTGTTGAATATTACATCGAAACTGCTGTAACCAGGTCAATCCATCGGTTGTGTTGTAATATCACATTGTACGATGTACATCGATTTTGCGAACAAAATTACATCCATTGATGTAATATTGTATCTGCTTTTTGCTATTACATCATTCACGGACAGAAAATTGTTTGCATTGAACCAAACAAAACTTTAGTTGTATTTAAACAAACAATTCCGGTTGAAATTATATTGCATTTTGTTGTTTCAATAATACTTATTCATATAAATTCAAAATAGGATTCTTTTGTTTTAATAAGCCACTTTTCAACTGCAACTATTGTAAAAATAACAATATTCTATTATTAATCCAACAATAGTTCATTTTAATTTAGCATTTATTTGCTGTGTCCATTCCCCGGGCCATGAATGCAAAAATAACTACCAATCATTCCCTCGTTTTCACCCGGACAAAAATTTAAACAATAACAAAATTTCCGAAAATCTTGAGACTTGAGGTAAGTATACTTATAAGTATGCTGCAGTTCGAGCTGCAGTTGCTAAATATAATAAATTTTCTGTTTTTTTCCTTCATTTTTTCCGTCGATCTTGTTTTCCGTACTGAGTACCAATGCTCCTGACGCCAGGAAGGCAGCTCCCACACCTGGTGGCACATTGCGCATCTCGAAACGAAAGACACTTTTTGCACGAACGCTTGTATGAAAAAGTTTTTCGTTTCGAGATGCGCAATGCGACCGCTGGACCCTACGTATCGACCCATCAACTAATGAACCGGGGACCAACGGCTTTACTTCCGTGATCAGTGAAAAAGAAAACAAAAAATAAAAAACAATTGGCCATATTGAGAACTTCGAGATTAGGGCGTAATTGGTTTTGTAAACAAACACTTCATTTGACGATTTCTCGCGAATTAAAGCTCAATCTCAAAAACAAACTACACAAACAGGTAGATGAATAGTTCCTCTATCATTTGGTATAGTTTGTTCACGAGATTGTTCTCTTATTCGCGAGAAAACAGTGATTGACATGTTAGTTTACAAAAGCAATTACGCCCAAATCTTAAAGTTCTCCGGTCAATAAACATATTTTTATTTCTACTGTGTGAATTGTCAGACTTCATAAAATAAATATGATTGAATCTACAAGAAATCTCTTTCAAAAACAAACATATTTTTGTTGTTGACCCAGCTGCCAAATTTGACAGCATACGTCAAAACCATGAAAGCTCTTGTAAATTCGAAAAGATTTTCTTTTTGATTTAACAATCCATGGGTTTTGAGGAACAACTATACTGGATTGTTGAAACAATAATGATTTCTTTTTGCAGCCAAAACAAAATGAAATTCTTATTGATTTTACGTCAAATATTATTACGTTTAAAATATTTTTTTCTGCGTGTTATTTCATACATCAGCTTGAATTAAACTCAGAAACAAATTTAAACTAATTAGTATAAAAGTCACACTAAAATGATATTCGCCTGGTTGACCCTAGACTTCGTTTAGTTGCCTACAAAACGAGCCTAGTATAAACTTGAAGTATAAGGGGTATAGTATATCTATTGAATGTACATGCGTAGTTTAATACTGGTTTATCCCAGAAACGATTACCACGCCCCCCTAAGTTTGTTTTGGTTGTCAAAAGGATCATAAATATGATAATAACACAGACAGAATTGATACGTGAATTGTTTAAAAGAGCCATTCCCATACGATGGAAGTGCTTTGGAAATCGCCCTTTTTAACTAGTCACATATTCAATTTTTCGACGTTCAGATGATTCCACATTTTAAGATTATAATTTACTTTATTTTACGAAAAATAAATCTCCGACACTTGAATTGTCTGCCAATGGAAACTTGGTAGCTACTTTCGGTAACTGAGTGTACAAAATTTTCATGATTTTCATCGCCGGTTCAGATGCCAGCAAAACTAGCGCTTTCCGAGAAGAAAAAGTGGCCACGATTCTACCCTCTCCGACTGTCGTGTTCCCAAGCCAATGTAACAAATTTAAACGCGTCTGATCCATATCTACAATCTTCCGATCGCTCTCCGACCGAATGATAATAATCCGAATGACTTCGGTCAACTCAATAGGTCGATTCAGATTCTGAATCTCAATATGAAATGCAAACGCACGAAGATTCTTTATCATCGGGTCGGAGACGAGCCAGCCAACGGCTGAAAGTCTCCTTAATAAAGATATAAAAAAAAAAAAAATTATCATCGGAAGCGGAGCACGTAGGTCGGCAGTCGGCAGAATCAATTCGTTTCCGTAGTCGATCAGTCGAATTTTGACCAGAGATTTAGCAGAGTCAATCTGAAAAATCAGTCAATACCATCACTCATTAGTTTCGGCAACATGCTATTGTCTTCAAAAGCTCAACGCACGATACATACCTTTTCCAAAATCACCACCCGGTAGTAGATGCCCTCATACGGAGCCGTATAGATGTCACCCACCAGTATATTATCGTACCTATCGATTTCCGTTCCGGATTAACCTGACCATTGATGTCACGCAGCAGCTTGTCGCACTGAGTTTCGTAATCTGCCAAAATTACCCAGCATCGCTTCGGTTGATCCGCCGGAAGGCACTGGACGACCACTCCGAACATCTCCCCTTCTGCCTTTTCCAGCATAGCCTGGCTTATCCACCACCACCACCTTCTTGTGTTTCTTGAGCGTTTCCAATTTCAACTTTGTTCGAATATTGACGCAGGTTCTCCCGATGCTTGGACCAGTCCCGGATCTGGCACACGAAGGAACACCTCGAGACAACGGCTACACGTAAAATCAGCCGGCAGATGACAGAAACTGTTCCATTTCTCCATGATTGTTTACTAAAGAATACACTGGTCAAAATACTCTCGCACAAATCCGGTTTAGTTTAAACTATATACTGAAGATAGTATACTTTTTATACTAAGCTACGTGTAAACCTCGCGAATGACAAAAATGAATAAATTGTAAACTATCGATGACTACTAATATATCAGAGTGTACGTTGATCGATATTATATTTTTTTTGCTGTGTATAGTACGGTCCCTACTAATCGTACTTTGGGAATAATTACTGAACTACAGCTTTCCCCCGAAGAACGCGTTACCCACTGAGTTGCACCCACCGCTTTGTCTCGGTGGGTTTTCAACCAAGCGCTCTGATTTTCTGCGAGTGACTAGTTCTCCATTGACCCTACTCACATGCACAAAATCAGACCGACTGGTTGAAACCCCACCGAGCAAAAGTGGTTGGTGCAACTCAGTGGGTATCGCGTTCCTCGGGGGATAACTGTATATTCAAATGGCTGTGAAACTGCTTGAACTGGTTCTGGATCACAGATGCATTGAAATTTACTGTTTTGAAGCTCAGTGAATTTTAACTCCAGTGAGACGTCTTTTTGTCTGTGTTATGCTGACCGTAGTCGCCCATTTTTTGCAGTGTGGATGGTGGTGGTTCTCCCAGTAGCTGGTGCAATTCGTGGTTCATTCGCCTCCTCCACGTTCCGTCTTCCATCTACACCCCGCAACGTAGATGGTCCGCAACACCTACCGTTTAAAAACACCAAAGCGCGTTGCTCCTCCATGAGCATAGTCCATTACTCGTGACCTTAGAGGACCACCTGTCTAATCAGCGTCTTATAGATAGTCAACTTCGTGCAGCGGCGTATTTTATCCGACCGGAGCGTCCTCCGTAGACCAAAGCAGACTTGATTGCCTATACCATAATGCGTCTTTGAATGTCTCATTTTCGGCAGTCACCATTCCAATTTCACCAGCCCAAATACCCGAACTCGTCAACCATCTCGATTTCTTTCGTTTATTTAACGTCGGTCTCTGTTCCGCAATCTAGTGCCAATCACCGACGGACATCGATTGCCATCCATTGACGGCAATCGAATGTGCAGGAAGGCAGCTTCCACACCTGTGTAGGATATCGCACCCATTCAAATTCAACACACATGGGCCAGGACCAACGGCTT